GAGAATCCTTTTCCTATGTTATTGTTTAATGTTATTGAAGGTGAATATTTATGAAAAGGCTGAGTGTGTGGGTTGACTACAGGGTAAGTAGTGCAGCTTTGATTAGTTCCTTTGTGTGGGTAACTTACCTGTGGGCAGTGGTAGCTTTGTTCCACATTTATGGTGGTTGAGTGGCAGACTCCCAGGTGGTCAAGTGGAAGAAGCATTGTAAGGCAGATAAACATGGACGCATTTCCACGTGGTAGTTTTTTACTCTTAAAGGAACACAAACATGTATTCCTGGCCTTATAGTGTTTAATCTACCATTTAGGTGGCTTGCCCCCTCTTAGAAGGGGTTAAAACTTACCTTATTTCCAGCACTGCGCAGGTCTAGCCAATCCAATGCGCAGAGGGATATTGGCAAGGAGGCGGGTTGGGATGGGACCAAACACCATTTTATCCAATCAGCACCTTCTTGTAGCGATGCAGTGAATCGAGAAGAAAATTCAGTGTCTCCATGCAGAGCATGCCTGCTGTGCAGCACTGTCCCAGGAAGCCTCTCCAGTGGTCATATGAGGAGTGGCCACTGGAGGTGTCCCTAGGGGGCAATGTAAGCACTGCATTTTCTCTAAAAAGGCAGTGCTTGCATGAAAATGCCTGAAGGGAATGATTATACTGTAGTTGTTCTGGTGACTATATGACCAGACTAGTCGCCCATTAAAGAGTAATGCTAAGACAATGGTTTCCTACCAAGTCTTGAAGGCACATTAATGATCCAGATTTTTGTCAGAATTGGTTAAAAAAAAAAAAAAAATCCTAACCTCCTACACTATTGGTGTACATTGGTTTTGGAATGGTTTCAGAGAATACCTTGCACAATGCTTTCCTGTGTAGAGCAGTGTGCAACTGACTGTTTCTCCTTTCACATCCAAAATAATGTGCACTCACAATTTAGACTGTCATCTCTTCACTGTTCTAGAGTTGCCTGAGTTGTTGCTGAGTGTACGAGTGGTGCATGCAGCAACTGTCCAATGCAGAGTTTGTCATTGTGGGTGTCACTGACACACACCATGGACCACTCTCTCTGACAAACACTGTTTGCGAAGTCCCATTATGGTCATCAGCTGCCTGGTTACCCTACTGACCATAATTGGTTCTTGTTTTGCTGCATGTCTATAGTTTAGCACAACATTTGGAGCAGCTTTAGTCTTCTATCCCAGTGGCCATCAGCATGATGCAGAGCACAATGGAAAGTAAAGATTGGCTGCCAGTGCTTCTTGCTACTTGCCATTCTAAATCCACATTCTTTCTCTTTTCACTGAACTTTTGCTATGACATGCTGTTTGCTAGTACAGCCCACCAAAAAATTCCCTGAGCGTAGGACTAACCAAGAAAATCTTCTGATCTCTCTGCCAACTCTTGGGGAAGGGCACACCTCAGCAGCCACCGTTAACCTTTGCACCTCTAGCTCGATGGGTAGTTTACCTCTGGGTTGTTTCATTGGTTTAGAGCTATCAGCTGAAGCTCTCCCGAATGAGCCACGGTAACTGCATCCGATGTCTATAGCTCTTTAGTAACGGCAGTGAGACAATGTATGCATGATGCATACTTAAGGAGTCGGATGAAAATTCAGCCCAGGCAGTTAATGGCACAGCAGCCCACTGCGAGGGGCGGGGCCACAAAGAGGCATGTTAATTGTGTGTTTGCATGGTGTGGTGTATATAAGTTATATAATGTGTGTGTGTGTGTGTGTAGGGTATGTTGAGGGGGTACAGAGTTTGTGTAATTGTGTATGAGAGTGAAGGGTGTGTGGTGTGTGTATTTAAAGGGGCATTGAGAGTGCTTAGTGTATGTGTAAATGCAGAGGGTGTTTATAAGGGGTATAGAGAGTGTGTTGTATGTAAGTTCTGGGGGTGTAGTGGATTCATATGGGGGTAAGATGGTAGTGGATGTAGTGGGTTAATAGATGGTTTGAAGCAGGCTGTGTAGTTGGTTAATAGATGGTATGAAGCATGTGGTGTAATAGCAAGACATTCTAAAAGTAATTAATGCAAGTAGAATGCAAAACACTCCAATTATTTTAAGAGTTAACAAAAATAGGTAAAATATCCAGGTTAAAACGTAATATTGAACTGAAGATAGATATCTCAATGTGTTAATTGGCTGAAAAGTGTATGTGTTGCCAAATTAGGAAACAAAGCAACAATAAATTGAATTATCAGCAAGTTTCCAGTGTTTTTAGCTGCTTAATCAATGTAATCATTAAAATATATATATATATATAATCCACTCCCCCTCCCTCTAATTACCTTGCCGGGGAACAGGCTGCTGACAATCCCTGGTGGTCCAGCCGGCTGGTCATTTGGTCTGTACTAGGGATCGACCGATATTTTTTTTTTTTTTAGAGCCGAAACCGATAATCTGTGAACTTTCAGACCAATAGCCGATAACTTACCGATATTCTGTACATTTACCATTTTGAAAAAATAAACCTATTTCTAAAGGTAAACACACAAAATATACATGCCACATATTGTGGATGCAGTGTGTTTGTGTAGTGTGTATAATGAATGCAGTGAGTGTTTTGTGTAGTGTATGTGTTTCTGTAGGTATGTAATTTGTGTAAAAGGGGGATTATTTTTAATTGTATTTATTTTTTTAAAGGGAGGGGGGTATGTACTGTGCAGAGGGATGTCTGAAGCCACAGACTGCAGTCTACAGGGCTGAGGAACCTCTATCACCCAATGCCCAGGACATACAGTTCCGGGTGTCACGCTATTTCTTCTTGTCCTTTATCCCTGCTGTGTGCAAGCAGCAGGGTTCCTACATGGGTTCCTGGAGGGCACTGAATGCTGGAAGCCAATACAGTGTGGCATGAAGATTATAACTGAAGGAGGATAGATTTGGGGTTGCATTCAGTCAACACACCACACAAACTGCATACAGTCAGCAAGCTTACTTACATTTCTAGCAACTACCTTCAGCTCCCCTGTGTAAATCTCGCAGCCGGTGTGCCGCGTGGAGCGTTGCCATGGTAACCCGTGGTAACGCTCTGCTGGCCGTGCACTCGCAAGAGTTAGACAGGAGGAGCTGCTAGGAAGGGAAGTAAGAGTGTGCTGGGCCCCCCAGGGACGCCGGGCTTGTGATGTGCCCGGCGGTCCTAGTATATATATTGACAGAAATATTGGTATCTCTATTGGCCGAAAATACAGAATATCATCCGATAATTGGTCGATCCCTAGTCTGTACCTCGGCAGGGTACAGGCCATGCTTCTCCCTCTCGCGAGCGCTGGTATTAGTGAGCGTTGCTGCAGGTTACCATTGCAACGCTCTGATGATATTGGAGCTTGCTGGAGGGAGTCATGCAGGCACGCACGGATTCACAAACCTTTCCTTCGGCCCGTAAAGGAACACTGGTCCCTCTTAGGGCCGGTGCTGCCCTGCATGGGCCGGCAGGGGAGATCCTGTGAGCTCCCCTGCCGGTCTCGGCATATAGCCATCGTGGCCCACTGGGCATTTGCCCGATGGCCAGTCCGAGCCTGCTTTAGGAGTTAAATCACTTAGTTTATGCAGCCCTGACCACACCTCCCCTTGCTGTAACTCACACAGCCTGTATGAAAACTAATTACGTAGCATTAAAACTAAAGGGCTACAGCACCCAGGTAACTTAAAGGGATACTATAGTAAGGCAGTGATTTCCAAAATTGTGTCGTGATATCTTATTGTCTCCTGGAGTGGGCAGGTGTGTCGCTCAAACAGATCTGGTAACCCTGCAGCTAGAATGGTGTCTGGGTTTGTCCGGGCAATTGAGCTGTCCGCAATAGTCCTGTCCAAGCAGACCCAGTAACTTAAAAACAGTAAAAATCAGGATGACAACCAGACACCAGTGGCAGCTACCCACAGTGTTGAACACTATTTTCTGGTGTCTGATTCACACCCTACTGACTGCATCTGATCCCATCCCATCCCATTAGGCAGCGCGTGGGCACAGCATCCATGCGCTTTGCCCCCTGCACTGTACATGGGGAGATGAGATGGAGAGATTAAGAAAAGATGTGGGCAGACCGGTGTATCTGCTTCCCTTCTCTTGGTACACTTTGGATGCCTGCTTCAGTCTCTACTCTGACACAATCTTTTCCATGCCAAATTGGGGTTTATTCTCTAAACAGCTTGCATTGAGTGCCCATTAATGTATGCAGGCCAGTGAGATTGTGTGTCTCAGTAAGCTTGAGTGTAATGAGCTTGTGTCAGTATGTGTGCATCAGTAAACTTGTCGGTAGCGCATTAGGCCATCCCCACAGGAAAGCATTGTTCCAATACTTTCCTACTGGGTATACAAGTATGCGCTTTTTTATAGTGAGCTTGTGTGTTAGCGTATAAGTGAAATTAGGCGTCAGAGAGCTTACTTGTTTGTGCTAGTAAGATTGCAGTGCCCCTGCCCCCCATCAGCCCATAATGTCTGTAAATGAAAGAACGAGAGTGTGCGCGCGCGCGTTTGACTGTCTGCCAATGTACCATTGGGAAATAAATATAAAAGAAACAAATTAAAACCAATGTGGCTTAGTAGAGAAGTAAAACAAGAGATTACAACTAAGAGAAGGGCATTTAAATCGGACAAATCAGATGCATCTTATAAAAGATATAAGGATGCAAATAATGCGTGCAAAAAGGCAATTAGACTTGCTAAACTTCAAAATGAAATAATGATAGCTGAAGAGAGCAAAACCAACCCCAAAGCATTTTTTAAGTACATAAATTCTAAAAAAAAACAAAATGAAAGTGTAGGTACACTAAAAACTGAAACGGGGGTGTTAATTAATGAAGACCAGGAAAAGGCAGGAATTTTAAATAACTATTTCTCCTCCGTATATATTAAGAAAGAACCCATGGCAATAGATGTGCAAATGAATGCTACTAAAAACTTGAAGAATAATTGTAATTGGTTAGCTCAAGACAAGGTGCTGCAGCAACTAAAAAAAGTTAATATAAATAAAGCTACAGGGCCTGACGGTATCCATCCACGTGTACTTAAGGAACTAAGTGCAGAAATAAGTGAACCTCTGTTTGTAATCTTTCAAGATTCTTTTCTTTCAGGAAGTGTTCCGGAGGATTGGAGGAAGGCAGATTTGGTTCCTATATTCAAAAAGGGTTCAAAATCCTTGCCTGGAAATTATAGACCTGTGAGCTTAACTTCTGTGGCTGGTAAAATATTTGAAAGGTTATTAAGGGATAATATTCAAGAATTCCTTGAGAAGAACATGGTTATCAGCAAAAATCAGCATGGTTTTATGAAGCACAGGTCATGTCAAACTAACTTGATTGCGTTCTACGAAGAAGTAAGTAGAAGTATAGATCAGGGTGTTGCCGTGGATGTGATCTTTTTGGATTTTGCCAAGGCATTTGATACAGTTCCACACAATAGATTAGTGTTCAAACTCAAGGAAGTCGGTCTAGATGAAAATGCTTGTTCTTGGGTAGAACATTGGCTTAAAAACAGAGTACAAAGAGTTGTCATTAATGGTAAATTTTCAAGCTGGACAGAGGTGGCAAGTGGTGTCCCTCAGGGGTCTGTTCTGGGACCCCTTCTATTTAACATGTTTATAAATGATCTTGAAGACCGTATTGAAAGTCATGTTTCAGTGTTTGCAGATGACACCAAACTTTCTAAAACAATACAATGTGAGCAAGATATTACTTTGCTGCAGAGGGATTTAGATAGACTGGGGGACTGGGCACTCAAATGGCAGATGAAATTTAATGTTGAAAAATGCAAAGTTATGCACTTCGGCGTAAAGAATACACAAGCAACGTATACCCTTAATGGAAGCGAATTAGGGATAACAACACATGAAAAGGACTTGGGAATTGTTATAGACAACAAACTATGCAAACAATGTGCAATGTCAATCAGCAGTGGCCAAGGCCAGTAAGGTATTGTCATGCATGAAAAAGGGCATTCATTCTCGGGACAAGAATATAATTTTGCCTCTTTATAAAATCACTGGTAAGACCCCATATTGAATATGCTGTGCAATTTTGGGCACCTGTTCTAAAGAAGGATATTATGGCACTAGAAAAAGTGCAGAGGCGGGCTACAAAACTAATAAAAGGAATGGAACATATTGGCTATGAAGAAAGGTTAACAAATTTAAACCTATTTAGTTTAGAAAAACGTCGCCTGAGAGAGGATATGATAACATTATACAAATATATTCGGGGCCAATACAAACCATTGTGTGGAAATCTATTCACAAACCGGACTTTACATAGGACACGAGGCCATGAGTTTAGACTGGAAGAAAGAAGATTTCGTCTAAGGCAAAGGAAAGGTTTTTTTTACTGTAAGAACAATCAGGTTCCATGAGTTTGGTGGGTTTTGCCGGTCACTTTAGAAAGAGGAGAAAAGCAAACAAACTACCGAATGGATCCCCCTGGCTCTTAGCAGCGATCGTCCCCCTCTGTCAAATGCACCAAAGTACTGAATATGTTCGGGAAGTCGAGTGTCCGATTTCAGTTCCATACACCCCGAGCTGTATGCCCAAAACAGTTCCATGAGTTTGGTGGGTTTTGCCGGTCACTTTAGAAAGAGGAGAAAAGCAAACAAGCTACCGAATGGATCCCCCCTGGCTCTTAACAGCGATTGTCCCCCTCTGTCGAATGCACCAAAGTACTGAATATGTTCGGGAAGTCGAGTGTCCGATTTCAGTTCCATACACTCGAAGACCAAGTCCCGCTGCCTTTGTTCGCATGAACAAAGATGACCGCGGTTTTCTCTGCCACGTGGCGTTCGGCAGACGAACGCTGGCCGCACAGACAGAGACATCAATTAAAGTAATCTTTGATGTTTAATGAGCCGGGGGTGTGGTCTTTGTTCGGTAGCTACATCTACAGAATGCAATAGGCAGAAATAAGGTACTAAAAGGTGGATTTATTCACACTGCTCCCCTATAAGTCCATAGGTCGGCATACCTGCCTAGACCCTGTCGGGTTGGCTTGGGAATGTCCGAAAAAATTGTCCTTTAAGTGTCCAGTTCGCTCTGTCTGGACAGACCGTCCGCATTACCGTTTTGTTTGCCCGGTATTGCATTGTAAAGTTGTAGGGCTGAAGGTCTAGGCTCCACCGTAATAGCCTGGTGTTGTCACCAGCCACCCAGTGTAGCCACACAAGTGGGTTGTGGTCAGTCATGAGAGTAAACGGGCGGTCGTACAGATAGGGTTGAAGTTTCTTAAGTGCCCAAACTAGAGCTAGGCACTCTTTCTCCACGGTGGCATAGCTGACCTCTCTGGGCAAATGTTTACGGATGAGGTAGGCCACCGGGTGTTCCATGCCGTTGTCCCCCACTTGGCTCAACACGGCTCCCAACCCAAACATGGAGGCATCTGTGTGGACAAGAAATTGTTTAGTGTGGTCGGGTGCTGCCAACACAGGAGCCTCACTCAATGCCGCTTTAAGTTTCTGCCGCTGCCTACCGGAACCTACCCTGTGGCCGAGATACTGTACCTCGGCCATGCCTACATGGCATTTGTCAAGTTTCAATGTGAGACCTGCCAGGTGAATTAGTTTGAGTACCCTCGACACGTGCCCCAGGTGGTCCTTCCACGTGCGGCTGTAGACGGCAATGTCGTCTAGATACGCACATGCGAAGTCCTGGAGCCTATCGGCCATCCTCTGAAACGTAGCCGGAGCATTCTTCATCCCAAAGGGCATAACCTTGAACTGGAATAGCCCAAATGGAGTGACGAAGGCTGACTTAGGGATGGCCGCAGGCTCCAAGGGGATCTGCCAAGTCCAAGGTAGTCAAGTAATTCCCCCCAGCCATACGGTCTAGTAACTCATCTATTCTGGGCATAGGGTAGGCTTCAGTTATGGTGCGATCATTGAGCCTCCGATAGTCTACACAGAAGCGCGTGGTGCCATCGCGCTTTGGTACTAGTACTTGGGAGGGCTTTGGGAGGGTTCTATAACCCCTAATGTGACGAAATGCCTTTTGTTACTGGATTTTTAGGTGACAAGTTGCCCTTTGCCCCTGGCTGTTGGAGGAGCCTGAGTGCCAGCCTCCTGCCTCATGACTACGGCCCTGGGTTGTATGGCACTTTACAAACATTATTTGGGCTAATGGATTTATATTGTGCTGCTGCTGGCCCTTTAAGAACGGCATTGTGGTTTATGGACTTGTATTGGACCATGCTGGCCCTTTAAGAACTGTCTGGGGATATATTGAGACTTTGTGTGACAATGCCCCTTTAAGACTATGTCCCCAGACCGTTAAAATACTTTGTCTATGTCTTTCTCCCACTTGGTTCAGTAAATGAGGCTTACTGAACCAGGTACCACCCAGGTGGACCACCCAGAAGTGGAAGTGTGCAGGCAGTTTACCTCCCAGGCTGGGAGCCTGCTGTAGGTAAATTGCCGAACGCTGGGTGGCCGCAGTTCGTGCAAACCAACACGTGGCGGTGGCCATCTTTGTTCATTCGCGCGAGGTCAGCGGTATGTGTAGCCAAATTCATGGAACTAAAATCGGCTACACATTTCAACGAACACCGCTGACCTGTACCTTGTCCTACACTGAATTTGCAGCTGCAGAGACTAAGTCCCGTTCGGCAGTTTGAACTCACTGTTATACTAAGCTAAATGCATGAACGGCCCCGTTCGTGCATTCGAATGGGACTTAGTAATTTTTCTGTGTAAAATAGACCGACCGCACTAACTTTTTATGTACTGGAGGGATTTGTATGATTTTTGGTTATGTTTATATTTCAAGTGTGCTGATTAATAATATGTAATTTTGAATATTGGATGTATAGTTTTAGAGTTATGAAAGTTGGGTAAAAAGTGGGTTTTAAAATGTATGGATAATTGGGTTACCTCTCAGGCTACAGGGAGGAGATGTGTGGGATGTAACTATGGTGTGATTGGGTATTGTGTAATTGTCTGTTGGCGTCTCCCTTGCAGGGGAGAATTGCATAAAAGCAGAGTATGTGTCATTAAAAGTTCAGATTATCTTGTACCTTCATGAAGTTTCGGCTCATGTTTGGGGGATTGGAGAAACTACACTCTGGGGATTGCTATAATCACTATACTGCCCAGGGTATAATCACTAAGCTCTGCTAAGAGCTTGTTCCTGTTCCTGCTCCCTGGAATTCGGAGAGGTCAACCTACTGGAAGCTGGACCCTGGTCTTGGGTCCAGAGTGGGTGAAGACGGCGAGACCTCAACCAAGCTGCGGCAGTTCGTGGGGTCTGCAGTGGTTATGGTGTCGGGCAGAATGCTTGGAGTCCTCGGAAAGCACTAGGAGCATCCGTCGGCGGAAGGTACCCGGTCGGGGTGCCAGCGGTTCCGTCACACCTAACTTGAGCATATCCCTTATTTCGGTGAGCATATTTTCACGTACTGCCTCAGGGATACGATACGGTTGCTGCCATTTCTACCCGGTGTACCGCAGCGGAGGTATAGCCTGGTATGGCTGAAAACATATCTTGGTATCCCTGAAGCAGTTGAGAAGCCTCAACTTTCTCTGAGAGGTTAAGATTCCAACCCAAGCTTACCTGGTCAATAGTACACGGGGAGGTGTCTAATAAATCAGGGAGGGGTAGTCCCTCACTATCTTCCGATGAGGGGGCACATACTGCGCCCACATCTTTCGTTCTTTCGTAATAGGGTTTGAGCATGTTGACATGAAAAGCTTTGGTCAGCCTTTCATCCGAACATTTACAATATAGGTGGTATCGCTTATACGCTCTGCCAACTTAAAGGGTCCCTGCCAGGCTGCCTGTAGTTTGTCTTTCTTTGCAGGTCTTAAGGCTAACACTTTCTGTCCTATTTCTAATACCCTATCTCTGGCGCCCCTATCGTACCACTTCTTCTGGCACTCCTGGGCCGCCCGCAGGTTCTCCCAAACAGATTCAGTGAGAGCCGCAGTTGGTCCCAGAACTCCAGAACATACTGGACGATAGGGACCCCCCCCCTCATCTGTGTTGCCCTGCCAGTGCTCCCGTACGAGATCCAGTGGGCCCCGAACTTTTCTCCCGAACAGGAGTTCGAAGGGGGAAAACCCAGTGGATGCCTGGTGCACTTCGCGGTAGGCAAACAGAAGATGGGGAAGATATTTTTCCCAATTCCTGCAGGACTCTGTGAATGTCTTTAGCATCTGCTTGAGCATGCCATTGAAATGTTCACAGAGTCCATTGGTCTGGGAGTGATAGGCTAAATAGGGCTTTTTTTACTCCA